CCACCACCTCTGTAAATGTGTCTTTTCACAATGTGAGATTGGTTGTATCTGGTGAGTTGTTCCCACCAGATCAGCCGTCGACCTGAATCATTCTCCAGTGTGAACCTGGGCTCGTCTGTGAAGAGAACAGACACCATTGTTGACTGGTGCAGGAGACGTGTTCTCTTTCCCAACATAAACGGGCACCTCTGCGTCCCGCGGCCAAGGGGACAAAAACAACTGGTCGTCTTGCATACAGATCTGTATTGTGTAGGCGTCTGCGCACTTTAGTAGCTGAGATTTTTATTGCTGTTGCCACTAAATGATCTGCCAAGAGCTAAGCCACAGTAATTTTACTCCGTCTTGGCCGAAAGAGCTAAATAACAGTCTTCCGCAGGTGTTGTAACTCTAGGTCTGGCTGGAACATGTCTTCTAGATACAGAACCTTCGGATTCAAACTGATTCCATAGTCGGTGGACCAGACCACGAGAGACATTGAGACATCTAGCAGCATCAGCTTGTGACATCCCCATTCCCATCCATCCGATCGCCCGCCACCTCAACGAATCGGGCAAACGACTTCTCCCTTGACATTAATAGACTCTCCTGGATATTGTCCACGAATCTGTAATAACAACTGAACATCAACACTCGTGAACAAAAATTACGATTTTTGCTTTTTTTTTCCTCCTATTTCCTATATAAGTATTCATTTCTATAAAATAAAAGTGGTAGCTATTGCTTTTGCATATATTTTTTTAAACGTTATTACTGTCATGCAGATGAACTGTGAACTTAAACGTTACTAACATTTTTGCAATGGTGAACTTTTAAAAACAGGCTGTTCCTTTTTACTTTTGGAAGGCAGTATAAATCGCACTGAAAGAAGAATTTGCGCTGTGTCATTTATGTCAAAAAGTTCGTCATAGGTGTTAGAATAAATTAGTTTTACTTTTGCATGATGAAACTCGGTAGCGCGAAAACAAACGAGCGCCAAATGATATATAAGCCAGAGAGGGTTCTACTTATGTTTCATGCGCCATGAAACATAAGTAGAACCCTCTCTCATTATGTTTTCATTCTACTTATGTTTCAGTCTTAAAAAAGGATTTCGTACTTTCATTGTACTTGAGCCTCAGATTTTCTTTTTCAGCCATGTTACCTTTTTTTTTAGAATATACACCTGATATTATATTGCCTAATAGGTAAGCCTAAAAATATTTTAAAAAACTTATTCTGAGTTCCCCCTGAGACATTTCAGCACGCCGGGTGCTGACCACTATAGACACTGACTGACAAGCAGTGACCGTCTCGCTCTCGTTCACCTCCTTTGTTAGTCAAGTGTGCTTTCTTACCTACGAAAGACCTAAGAAATAATATGTGCACTTTGTCTTCTTAACTTTTTTTTTAAATGCCTTTTTTAAAAAAAACTCTGCTTTACAATTTTAAGATCGCTTTTAGAAATTATTCTTAAATATTGACAAAAAATAGCTAACAACTCTTAGGAATATTCCTTTTTTCACAAATTAAACAAAAATGTGAAATTTTCGAAAACTTAGAATCTTGAGAATATATCATTATAGAGTCATTAGGTTATTTTAAAGCACAAGTACATGAGAAATGAGCAATGCCTTCGTTGGGACTTGACCCTGGACCTCTCGAATGCGTGCCGAGTGTATTACCGTTACACCACGAAGACATGCAGAAAGGAGGGAGGCGAATGTGGATTAGGGGTCCCATTCGCCAGATCCTGTTGGTGAAGAATCATGATCCCCCACCTTTAGTTCGGGCGCCACTGTAGAGACATTAGGATTTTTTTTTTTTTTTTTTTTTTTTTTTTTAAAGCTGGAGACGTGAAAAATGAGCAATGCCCTCGCCTTTCGTGTCCCGGCGAGGGCATTGCTCATTTTTCTCTCGAACACGCACCGAAAGTACTACCGTTACAAAGTGCTTACGAAATGTAAGACTATTTACTTCATAAGAAGATCCCCACTTTTTAAGGTTACTAACACACGTACACAAACACACACACACACACAAAGGGGGAGGAGGAACAACAGTTTGACAAGTTCGATAGGCTGAAAGTGAATTAATAAAAAAAAATAATTAAATGGTATAAATGCAACATCTTGATGAAAAACTAAGCAATACTAGTAATTTTTTTTAGTATAAAAACTAAGTTGTAAATAATAAACTATCTTAATATAGTTTTAAATTTTATATTTGTAAATATAAGATGGGTGCAGTTTCCAGACGTCATTATATATTCATATTATAATCGGATAATAAATATTCGGATTACACTTTACATTCAAAGTCGGTGGGTTGGGTAGCTAGAAAGATTCACTATATGATTTATGTTTAATATATGTATTTTTTTTAAGCGCTTGAAGAAGATTTCGTTGTTTTCAGGTCGTCCATAAAATTCTCCTCAGCCAAAAATGCTATAATGCAAAGAAGTTGTTGCATATTCATGCAACATAAAATATTCATCTCCCAAATTAAAACAAGAGATTCTCATTACTTTAATTAAATGCGTCATTTGAAATCCATACATTTGTTAATAGTATTTTCATGTTGTTTGCTGGCAACTGGTTTAATAATAAGATTTTTTTTTGTCGTTAACTATAGCTTCTGTGCAGTTATTTCATTGTCATTTACAATTAGAATGCTGACGATTTTGAAGATTAATTATTTTATGATCATTTATACCGTTATGATAGGATTGAACAAACTAATTAAAAAAATAAATTGCAGAGCTTTGTTTCACTCGTTCTGGCTTTCTTATCTGCAGCTATCGTCCGCATTAAAAAAATTGCCCATAATGAGAGTAAAGATAAAATTCTTTTTGAGCATATAATATGCATATACATATTTCTGTGCCGTCTTGTTTTCCTTTTTCTTTAACTTTTAATTAAAAGTTTAACGACTTGTTTTTATAAGACAGTAGTTTTCTTTGTGGGCCTGAATGTACGGCTTTTTTTTTTTAATGATGATTTAAAACCGTACTCGTAAGCTTATACATCTCGATGATCTTTTAATTATGGTCTGCTGTGGCTGAAGTAAGCAGTCACCTTAAATATGCTACAATCTAAGGTGAAAGTACTCTTGTAAAGCAGAATCATTAAGCATGAAAAGCTCTGAACCTGTCCTTAAATTGAATAGCTGACCACTAAATCTAAAGAGTCAGATTTAATAACTAGTATGATGAGAATCTGAAATAGGACATTTAGTAACTCATGATGTCAGAGCTACTTAATGTCCTATTTCAGATTCTGTGACTGCTTACATGGGATTCATTATGTCTAGAAAAAAACCCGCTAAATGCTGGTAATTAGGTCTGGATTGATTTTTCACGGCGGACGGACTGATTACAGAGCTGGGTTAAGCATTAAGCGAAATAAGAGCGTGCTTAAAGCTCCCAGGAAAGGGGCTCTACCAAAAAGGTGCATAAAGAGTCAAGGACAGGAAACACATAAAAGTTTCTCACCACCGGATTTACCGTAGAATATATGATGCAGCTAAACCAAGAACGAGAGAGCAAGATTAGTGAAAAATAGGTGTTATGCTGTAAATTCATGAGGAGACACTAAAATCTTTTAAGTGCTTAGGTCATATAACAGTCTTAATCTGCCCATATAAAAGTTCTTGGTTGACTTCATATGGTTTTGCATGCATTAAGGGAATGTGAAGCAGTTTTCTCCGAAAACATTCTATGGGGATATCCTCACTTTAAACAGATAACCCTCGCGTTCTTTGCCTTGATAGATAAAACTTAAGCTTTCAACCTTTTTCATGCATCGAACACTTTTAAAAGAATTTTTTTCCTTCAACGACCGCCTTACATTTTTTCCCCTATAATATACAGCATTCAACAATCATAATATAAGCAATTGCACATAAATAGCTTAAAGATAACAATTAAACTAATAACAGGAAATTTTTTTGAAAAAAATATTGTTTTATGTTCTATTATTTTTATATTATTATTATTTTAATTCTGAAAATATAAATCAAGTTTTAAGAAACGAAATTACAACTTCCGATTGCACACTAGTTTGATTTAAATTAACATGACAGCTGACAGCATTCTGACTTATTGATGCAATTTTTTTATGTATTTGGCATAAAAAGTGCTTAGTTCTTAAATAATTCTTTCAAAAATATTCAGCCTGTTTCTTGTGTCCCATAGTAAGTCATTGACTTGACTAAAGCCTGCTTCCACTTATGTAAGATAAGGAAAAAGTCAATAATGTAGGTTTGGTAACAATTTGTATTTTGGGATATTTCTCTAGGACAACTTTTAAAGTCCAAAATTTAGCGCACTTATTCGTTTTGAATTATACTTTACTTTGTAGCTTTATATCAACAATTATTTATTAATTTTATTATAATTTTTTGTAACCTGTAAGATTTTCATTATGACGATTCCGTTATCAGTATATTCCGTTCCGAGTACATATTCCGTTATCGACTGTTGATCATCACTGATAGCCCTTTAAAATTTCATCGAAACCCCAGGGGTCAATACCGATGCCGTTGGAAACTCCGGTGTTAAACAAACTTTTCCGATCAAGTGATGTATGACATCTTTTTGCATTACAAGAAATGACTTTGCTCTTTCTTTGCGAAAGATGCTTTTTATCTTATTGCATAAAAAAATTTCTAATTGTTTAATAACCTTCACGATTTAAACTACGGAGATGCCAGCTTATACCAGTTTTTGAGTGTGTCTGATATCCCTCCAGCATATAAGCTAGAAACAACACTTCACTAACAAACATACCTCCCACATTCTCTAAATTACATATTTCTGCTTTACTTTCTATAGAAATGCAAATACCAGTTAATTTGCAATGCACTAAAGCGCAAAAGTGAAACTGGGTTGCTAATGTGTTGAATCTATCGTAGACGTGACTGCCTTTTAATAGCTAACAAGCCGTTTTCTTTTCAATGATTAGGTGTTTTAAGTGAAGGCAATTTTACGTCGTACTTCCTTCCCGTGAAAGAGTTTAAAGACGGAAACGGAAGTCTACTGAGCTTTCGAAACCAAAATGCAATTTCACTTGATGCATAACTCCAAGCTAATAACATCCATGAACATGACAGCTGCAAAACTGCTTTTATGGGTAGGAATTATGCTGATGCTAACACACCTTACTCTTTGTAAAAAGAAAAAAAGTAAGTGAACAGAATATATCTTTATTCTTGTCTTCTGTTTCTTTTATTTTGGCTTAAAAACTTAATGCTGGGATTTGAATATCCTTTTCTTTTATGTCTTGTGTTTAATATGCAGCATCTGATACAAATGTTTGATTCTTACTGTGATATATAGTTACTGATTCCCATGAATAATTTTTATTAATCAATATGCTCATTTTTACATTATAATTGCTATTGCAGTGGTTTTCAACAGGTTTTGAACTTTTCACCACTGCTAAAAGATCATTCCCCCTTTCTCTCCCCAAACTCGAGAAATACACAGATGTAAAATACGAAAAAAGATGTAAAATATAAAAGATACAAGAAAAAATATATAAGATGTAAAATACGAAAGAAAAATACGAACTTTAATTTAGCAATAGACCTTTTAACTCCTCATTTTAATTTGGCTTCGTACCCACCTGGAATATAAACTGTGTCACTTGAAATCTGCATTATGTCAAAAATCTAGTTTGCATTATGTCATCATTAGTCTTGCACTGCGGTTAGCTCTTGGCCAATCACTTTTAAAATTTAAACAAAAGACTCAACTTTACAAATGTATGCTTTGCTGAAATGTGCATTAACTTTTTCCTGCCTTTCTGTCGCTGTGCAAATGCGAGTTCCTCATTTTTCTGCTTCAGCCGTTGGCTAATCGTGTGATTCGTTTCATAAAAGTGTCGAGGGTGCTTATCGCACCCAAAATAATGTGTGAACATGTTTACGCTTACCAAGAATGTCTACACTGAGCATAAAGTCGTACTGTGCCCCGAATGGTGCTCAGGGCTCTAGCGAACGACAGATGCAGTCTTATACTCCTTGCTACGATAATAATTTGTGAGCTTGTTCTGATTACATCAGACAAGTGAGATTAGTAACAACAACAACAACAAGAATGCCCGCCGAATAAATTAATGCGTTTTTTCTTCTTTTCGACGCATTAAAGCTTTTCCAATTACAGAGGTAATATCTCGTCGTTAACATCTGTCTTCTAATCCTCAAGTCATATCTACAAAATTATTACATACATTTATTTAGATTTAGATTATTCTATTATTGCTTTATAATAAAATTGCTTTATAAATTAAACAATAAAGAGAATAGAAAATGTTAATAAATGCCAGAAAAATAATGCCATAATACCAGTAAATGTTAATAAAAGCAATTTTTTATACTCATAAACTAAAACGAAATACTTAACAGCTAAATATGTTCAGGGGGAAACCAGAGGAATTTTCAATTAGGGGAATTTCCCTCTGGTTGAGAACCCTTTTTCTAATTGCATGTATATGTTCATTATACTACATAACATTTGTTAGGAAGATAAACTTTAGCCTTAATTTGGAAGTCAAACAACCAAAATCAGCGTTATATTTTCAAATTGTTGCTGTTTGACTTCCAAGTTAATACTTGTTCGGCGTGTTATTGTATCTCAAGCTTTAGTCTATTTTCTGTCTGCTGTTTCTTCTATTCGACTTGAATATACTATTCTTTTATTATCTGTTTAGTATGCAGCGTATTATATGAAAGTTTCAATACGTAATTACTAATTTAAATGAATAAGTTGGCCACCCAGACGGTATAATGGTTAGGGAAGCCTACTGCGGTACCGAAAGGCCTGCTTTCGAATCCTGGAGAAGGCATGGATATTTGTAGGCGTGGGGGGCACTGTAAATATATGACGAGCCGAAAACTCGTGTGGTTTATTAGTGAGAAGAGGAGTGTGAAAACCCATCGGACTACCTCTCCGGGGTGCTGTGTTTCAAAATTGGGTGGAAGTAGAGGTCCAACCTCATTGAGGCTTTGGCAACCCTCCTTCCATGAAATGCATGGACAAGACAATAACAACAATGAATAATTTTTATTAGTTATTTTTTTTTTTTTTCATTTTTATATCATTCATTTGCAACGAAGGTATGCGCAATAAAAGGATTTTGGTAAGCAGTCAGAGTTATTAAAACGATCTGTATACTCTTCTTCTATGGATGTGTAATATAAACATTTTGAAAAATAATCGAAATTGTTAAAATAATTTATGAACACCATTTGACACACTGACTATCAAATTTTGTAAAAAACATACAAAAATTACAAAAGTGTAATAGTTAAAGTACAAGATATTTTAGATACTTAAGCAAACCTTTTCCTTTCACTCGAAAATATTTGTATTATACCACCGTGTCCATAAAATTCCCTGTGCTGCCTTCGTTTTCCCAACTGCTGGTCGTGAACTTAGGCTCCAACTTATAAAAAGGAAATTTTATTAAATGGAATTCCATTTAGTAAAATAGTGCTTAAGCACTATAAGCCGCTCAGCTGATTCCATCATAGGGTTGCAGTTTTAATGGCCAACAGTACAATTCACTAAGAAATGACTGAAAAGAAATTAGAATCCTTTTATGTGTTTTTTTGAACCAGACAGATTTAGTTTAAGCGAGCAGGCATAGCGTATTTCCCGGGCCTTCAACAAAGAAGGTTATCAAGAGCTATATGATGAAGCTCTACAATCTGAGACCTTAGGTCTATCCTTTAAAGGTTCTAGATCAGGGATTTTCAATCCTTTTCTTGCATCGACTCCTTATAAAAAAATGGTTTTCTACATCGGTCCCTATATATTTTTCTCAAAAATATACAGCTTATAACATAATCAAAATATAAATAAATTGCACGTAAATAACTTAATGATGACAATTATACTAAGAATATGAAAAAACGCTTTTAAAGAAGTGGTTTATTATATTTATGTTTTATTATTTTGTTGTATTATTTTTAATTCTACAAATATAAAGAAGTTTTCAGAAATAAAATCACAGATTTTAATTGCGCAGACGTTCAATTTTAACGAATGCGATGAATGTGCTTGTTGCATTGATGATATTTTCCTTAATATTTGACGTAAAATTCTTGAAATTAATTCTAAAATCAACTCGTTCAAAAATATTCAACCTGATTCTTCTTTTCAGTAATAAATTATTGATTTAGCTAAAGCCTGTTCCCATTAAATAAGAAGAGGAAGTAGTCAATAACGTTGGTTCGATAACTACTTTTATTTGGCGAAAATATTATTATTAAAATCTACTAAATACCGTAAGTGTATTATTCATTCTTATATTTATTTTATATAATTTCTTTACTACATGATATAGCTTTACATCAATAAACAATTAATTTGCACTTTTATTAATACATTTTTCTGCAATCAATGGAATCCTGATTATATCGATCAGTTGCCGGAGCATATTTAGTTATCGATCCCCAGTTGACCCCTTGATCATCACTGGCCCCTGCAAATTTCATCCAGCCCTCAAGAGGTCAATGCCAACCTCATTGGGAAAACCCTGGTATAGACAGTAATGAGGCTTCTCGTGCAATGGACTGCATAACCAGTTACCAAACAGAGGATTTCGGTTAGTTTCCGGATTGGATATAGGTGAATTTTCTAGATTTTTCTGATCAATGCCACTTAATGACTCTAGAAGATAATAGTTTGAGTTCTCGTGATGATTTTTAATCGACAAGTTATATTTAAGAACATCACAATTCAGTAAGTAACTGATACTGATGACATCAATGATTTTACATTAGTAATATATGTTGCATTTTAAAATTTTTGACCTAAACTATTTCAGTTTGAAATTTGTTCACTTTCCCTAATACAGTAAATAAATGTTTTTACAGAAGCTTCTTGCCCTCCTTTCCCTCATACTACCCTTGAAAACGGTCAAATTATAGCTGTAGAAAAAGACAAGTTTCAATTTCGCTGCAACCGTGGCTATTTCCTGGCTTCACCTCCAGTTGTGCGTTGTTGGAGAGGAAAGTGGTCATCCATGGTCGAACCGAAATGCTCAAAAAAAGGTAAGTTTCGAAATTTGTCTCTAACTTGTCTCTTGCTAGGCTATAACAATACTAAACATGTCTAATCCTAATAAGAGTTATCACATATAGAGAAGCGATATGCTATAAGAAATTTTTCTGAGAAATGCGTTTCGCGCAGCACTAGTTCGAATGAAAGGTTTCTATACGAAACAGTTGGACTCGACAATCTTTGCGCGTACGTACTCGGGACATTTTACGATGCTGGAAATAATGTTTCGCCTACATCTCTGTCTCTCGGAGGTCATGTAGATTCAAAGAAATAGTTTTCGCGTTAGTCAGTCAATCAGATATCTGCAAGCGAAAATTTCCGGAAATGTTTCTTTCGATGCACAGTTGAGGTTACCTTGCAAATCTGATAGCAGTTAAGGTGGAGGAAAATTAGATCTTCTTATCGAAAGAAGAGCACTGAATATGTTCAGAAGATAATGTGTTGATAGAATGCTAGTGATTAAAATTCATAATATAGTACTTCATTTAATTAAATAAACTTATTAACTAAAATAGTAAATAGATAACAACAGTAACGATAATAATAATAACAATAAAAAGTGCAGCTTAAAAATAAAAATGCGGTGAACAAAATAATTATTGATTATGTACACTATTATTCAACGTATTATCTGATTAACTTGTTTGCAGTAACATTTTATACATAGTTAACTGATCTGGTTATACATAGTTAACTGTATCTGAGTCTCGAGACGCTTGGAATCATGTTATAAACAAATAATTCCAAAGACATTTTAATTTATTCGACCGTTTATCTTTGTCTGAAATTTCGGCTTGCAACATTCATTCTCAGAAGCAACTGTTCACACTTGTTTGTGCTGTCCAAAATAAGGATGAACGAGTGGAGACGTCGACGGTTATAGTTCCACATTGTCAGATGATACTAATGCTTTAAATAATAATAAACGTATTGATGTCAACATCTTAACTCCGACGCCGTGAGATCGTCGCCAAAGCATAACTATTGAATCCAATTTTTTACTGCATAGCACAAAAGTGGTAAATTTTCATGTCCTTCTACCCGGATGATTTCATAATAATGTCGGTCATACAGATGGTGACACCTTTACTGAAGGAGCTCACCAGCGGCTGAGCGGTAAAATTGCTGAACACTGGTAGTTCCTACTTGGGTTCGATTCCCGGCGAACAGCCTGGCTGCATGAGCGTTTGCGTGGTTTTCCTTATGTGTAATATGTATACGAGCCAGTTCTCCACAAAGGCATCCCTCCCCTTAGTAGCCCTAGTGTGTTTTGCCATAATAAACGAAACAAAAATCAAATCCTAATTGTACGTCAGAGATTGTTCACCAAAGCTTAAACTCACATAAACATGATCTGATGTAGAGGTACCGGCATCTCGATGAAATATCTTTTCTTCAAATTTTAAGTTGAACTTCAAAATTGTGCCGGCACTTTTATGAGGAGATTTTACCCAGATACTCTGACATAATGGTACCAGCACTTTGACGAAAGTTTCTTCCTTCAAGTTATAAATGAAATTTTAAAAATGGTGCGGGCTTTGTAAAACAGAGAGCACCTATTATATAGGACATCCATGGCAGACAAGTTGCCCATTTGTATAAAGGTGTCGGTACCTTTATGATGTAGGGTTTTGCAATCACAACCATCATAAAGGTATGGCATTTTGATGTAAGTCTCAGTCTCATAAGTCTTTATGTCTCAGCGAACTTGCAAAAAGTTATCGGCACCTTCCATTCAGATCGATGGATGCTCTCTTAGATCTTCACAGGAACGTCTCGAAATTTTGACGAAGGCCATATTCTTCACATTGCAAACTAAAATTCTTTAAGAATGCCAGCAGTTTCATTGAAGTTGACAACTATTCATCGAAATCGTGATACTTTTGTGTCTTAATGCCGGTGTACCCTTGTACGTCGGCGAACAACGGTCAACTTGAATAAAGATGCTGGAATTTTATGCATGGCGGTCAGACCACGGCGTTAGCCACTGGTTCAAGGTACTATTTATTTTGAAAAAAGATGTATAATATGGTAGTTTTGTCAGAGAAGTCTGCCAAAACGATGTCTCTAATTATTATCTCATTAAATTTTTATTTCAGCATTAATTTCATATCGTTAAATTTTGATTCAAACTTTAACTGAGCCTAAAGCTGAATGAAGAGGTAGGTCAAAGTAATTTCCTAGATAATGATAAAAAGAATAACGACAAATAAAATACCAATAAAAAATAAGCAAATTAAATAAATAAATAAGTGAAACAGAAAAAAGGCTATGTGCTATTTCAAAATGCTATACGATTTTTCTATTGGAGTAATTCCTAGACCTCTTTAACAGACTTTGTAGGCTATATCGAGCCTGCGATTCATGCAGTGTATAACAGAGACTTCTGAAGTCTTTAGATAAGAGATTTTAAACCGCTGGACAGTTACTCTATAAGGAATATAAACGGTTCAATGATTAGCAGCAAAAAATTACATTTTTAGATTTTTTTCCCCTTATTTAAAAATTTTAAGATTATCTCTTAATCTTATCTGCTAAAATCTAACCTTTGTGTGTGTGTGTGTGTGTGTGGAGAGAGGTATCTGGGGAAAACGCTTAATCTCTCTACTCTTGTTTTCCTCGAGTCATCTTTTGTTTAACATATTGTTTGGACTTTTATCAGGTTCAAATGTCGCGGAGAAGTCAGGTTACGAGCATGAAACTTACAATAATTGAAACTAATTCGTAAAAGGCATTTGTATACTGCCTATAAAAGAAATTTATGAAGTGGCATCATCCGGACCAAGGTCAATAGACAGACAAAGTTATGCTCATTCAAGGTCTTTCCGATGCTCGAGACTGTGGCTTATCTTATTTAGCTGCTCAGTATTCTGCAACTGACTTTTATATTAGGATGACTATGAGTGTCATTAATGTTTTCATATTTAACCCTTGTTTGTGCTACCGTCCATATGTATTCTGGACCTTATATTCATACTGTTCATCATTTTAATTTTCACATGAAAGAGAGCACTATAATTTGTTAGTTTAAAAACAGAATTTCTAGGTCATTTGCCACCGCTCAATTTGACTCAACTATGGTAACAGCAGCTGCGGAGAATAGGTCGAATAGCTTATTCCCGCCACATACACACTTCATTTCCGTTTAGCGTGTTTCGATTTACGAAAAGCACGTGAATGAAGGTTGATTTGAACTACAGCCCTAAATGATGTAGAGAAAGCAAATGCTCTGCGGCGATGACGACACGAGTTATGATTGCAAATGGAAAGTTTGGCAATGGCCTCTAGGTGCCTATTTCAAAGTAAGTAATAGACTATAGAACGATAAAGGGAAAAATTGATTAACATATTTTAAAATGTATAGTTAGTTAAAATAGGCTAATTGTAATTGAATAATTACCTCTGCGAAGAATTTTAGTATGTTTGATTGAATACCGAAGCACAGAATAAGTAACCACTGTTAACTTCTCTCAACAAATCGAATTTTCAATTCATTTTTTTTCTTGTTTCTACAGTTATTAGTTCAACTGTACTTGCTACTTAATCATGCTTTCGTTATTGCAGAGGGTCAATGCGATGATCCACCTCCAGTACACGGCAGTGAGGTTTTTGGAGACGAAAGAGAAGTGGGAGCTACGGTACAGTATGTCTGCCTTCCTGGTTACATTCTTATAGGAAATGGTAGAAGAACATGTTTGGAAAACGGTTACTGGGATGGAATTACTCCAACCTGCATGGGTAAGTTCTTAAATCTGGTTTAATTTTCAGCTCAGTTCTTTAAAAATACATGTATATACGTGTGTACAAGTATATACGTGTATATACATGTATATACGTGTGTACGTGTGCTCAGTTCTTTAAAAATACATGTATATACATGTATATACGTGTGCCAGATATTACGTGTGATTCTTATTAAATTTGGGCAGAGTTCCTATAAAATTGCAAATCGAAATGCGGTAGAGCCTTGATTCACGAACAAATCCATTCACGAACGAATTTTCGAAGCGAAAAATGTCTTGGATTACGAACATGTCTCTAGATAAAAACAAGTGAGCCGGCAACAAATGATGCGTTAAAATGCAGTGAAGATAATATCTTCAGAAAAAGACGGAAGAGAAAAAAATCCTAGCTATTTGATCCGTGAAGCTGGGGTAAATTGGAGAGCATTAACACTCTGTAAAGCAGTAGTAAGCCGCAGCACAAATATTTGCAATGACAAGTATCATGTCTTAATTACTTAATTAGCTTAATAGCATCTCTCAAAAAAGTGTATTCCCCCCTTTTTTTTTTCCTTCGAAGACACCACTAGCAAAATCAACTTCATTCCTATCACGGCAGCCCAAAGATGAGGAAGGACGTCGATTTCCCCTTCTCGCATCTCTAGCCAGACTGGTCGAACCTGATTTCTCCCTCTCATAGTGTGACGGTTATAACGTGTGAGGCTTGTCCTCACATCTAACCTATATTTTTTATATTTAGGATTGTCGTAACATACTCACTTTAAATTGCGAGACACAGTTTCCCCAGGAAATACTTTCTGTATGTTTGTCTGAGAGATTTAAACAATTCATGGCGAAATTCTCCTTGTTCCTCTAGCTTAGTTCAAGTGGTATCCGTCTTCCTTGCTTCTGAATCTCTTTCTTAGCGAATAAACAATTAAGTCACCTTTAGCTGTTAAGGAAATCCTATTTGCGTTTAGGAAGAATTTTGGTGAAGCAAACCTTGTAATTCCTCATGGGCGATCTTCTGCAGATTTTCTCTGCTTCTTCAATCGCTAACTCCTCCGACCTCCGGCCGGAGGAGTTTATAAGGATGGTCAGGTTGAGACAATATATTAAAATACTGTAAGAGAGACAACTCCTCCGGCCTCAAACGGAGTGATAGATCGTGACAGTCAACATAAAGACTCTGCACAGGAGATGTCCTGAAGGCTCCAGAACAAATCCGCAGAGCCTGATGATGAACATGATCTACTTTTAACAACATTGAAGACCGAGCGGATCCGTAAACAGCTGAGCCGTAGTCCAGTCTAGAGCAAGCAAGAGTTCTGTAATTGCGAAGCACAGAGCAACGCTCTGCAACCTAAGAAGTGTTCGACAGAACTTTTAAAATATTTAAAATTTTTGTACACTTCTTTCTCAAATTTAGGAAGGAAAGTCAATTTTCGGCCGAATATCACCCCTAAAAATTTTACTCCAGGTGCAACTGGAATCACTTACCCATTGAGATAAAATTCAGCCTCAGGATGGAAACCTCGTTTTCTACAAAAGTGAACGCACACAGTCTTCTGTTTCGAAACGTAAATCCTTGTCTGTTTGCCCATTCCTGGATCATGTTCAAAGCAATCTGGAGTTGCCTCTCTACATGTCTCATATCCGCACCTCGACAGCTAATTTGTAGGTCATTAACATATAAAGATCCTGAAATGGTGGGAGGAAGTTGTTTTAATACAGAATTTATATTTAGGCTGAACAAAGTTACACTAAGCATACAGGCTTGAGGCACACCCTCTTCCTGTTCAAAAACATCCGGAAAACGGAGCCAAACCTTACTTGAAAATTTCTATTGTTCAAGAAATTCTGAATGAAAATTGATAGGTTGCCACGCAAGTCACTCTCGTGAAGATCCCGAAGTATACCGTATCTCCATGCCTTATCATAAGCTTTCTCAATATCAAAAAATACCGAGACAAGGTGACTTCTTCTTACAAAAGCTTTTCGATGTCTTTAAGAGGAGCATTTTATCTATGGTATTTCTCCCCTTTCGAAAACCGCTTTGATAAGGCGATATAATATTATTCTTTTCCAAGAAGTAGACTAGGCGGCTGTTTACCATTTTTTTAAACAGCTTGCATAGGCAACAATTGGCCGATAGTTGGAGGGATTCCTTGGATCTTTCCCTGGCTTAGCAATGGGAATTACAACAGCTCTCCTCCATGCACTGGGAAAAGTACGCTCCTTCCACACTCTATTGTAAAGAGTGAGAAGGTCATTCAGTGACTTATAGGACAGATGTTTTCGCATTTCGTAATTCAAGCCATAAAGACCCGGAGAAGACCTACATGTCTGTAACAAAGCTCTCCTTAATTCCAACATAGTAAAATCTCGGTTGTAAGTCTCAGATTTGGAAGAGTTGAATGCGATGGGATTTATTTCAGAGTGCTGCTTGATAAAGAGAATGCAGGTGAATAATTTCTGCTGGAAGAAACGGCAGCAAATGTCTCACCAACAGCATTTGCTATTTCTTCTACGGAGCTAATCACTTGGCCATCTTTTTCCAAAAAGGAAAGTGAGTGGTCTTTATATATTCCGCATGCTTTTCGAACTCTTTCCCAAACCCGCTTTCTAGGCGTAGAGGAAGTTATTGACGACACATACGAAATCCAGGAATCCCTCTGGCTCTGCCTTCTTACTTTTCGAGCATTTGCTTTGGCTCTTTTAAATGCTGCGAGGTTTCGCAGAGTAGGATATCTACGAAAAATTCTCCATGATTTTTTTCGTTTTTTTTTTTTTTTGTTTCTTCAGTGCTTCATGACAGTCGCGATTCTACCATGGTTTCGTATATTTTAGAATTTTTCCTGATGTTCTAGGAATGGAAAGAATAGCTGCCTGAATAATAGTATTAGTAACAGCTTTAACAGTGTCATCGATATGCACATCTTCTACCATTTCCTCTGTGAGTTCTGCAACGGAAGAGAAGAGTTCCCAGTCCACCCTATCGAATATGAACCGAGGGCATCTCGACATGGGATTTGCTCCTCTTCGTGCAAGAGATATAAAAATGGGATAGTAATCGCTGTTGTAAAGATCATATCCCACACTAAAAGTGCAAAATGGCAAACAGAAGACGGTGAACAGATGGCAAGGTCGATAGAGCGTGGAATGTCCTTGAAGGCTCATGGAAGGTAAGTATTCTGCCCATTATTTCAGGTCTCAAAGGCTAAATCTTTCAATCATATGCTCAATTTGTCTTCCTCTAGAATTTGTGTCTTTAGTTACCCCAGAGCGGACTATGGCCGTTAAAATCTCCTATTATGATAAAAGGGCTCAGGCAGCTGCTGTATAAGACCACTTAAATCTGGTCCTGATCAATGTGCTCATTTGGAGGCAAGTAAAACAGAGAAACGACTGAAACAACAATATCAAAATTTACCCTTGAGTAGCGAGAACTTGGAGGGATGTCGTCAAAGGAAAGTGAATTTGATGGATAGTGCAAGTGAGGTGAGGAGACCTACACCTCCACTAGCACGTTCACATGCAAGACTGTCTTTCCTGACGAAACGAAAACCTCCGAAGTTTTGCTTCTTGTTCTGGTTTCAAGATTTGTTTCCTGTATTGCCAAACATACAGGATGATAAGCATTGATTATAGCTTTGATGTCGAGCAAATTTCGGTGGAAACCGCGACAGTTCCATGAGACGAGGGTGGCCATTATGAATGGTTTTTGTTTTTCTGTGCTGCTTTTTAGTTGTGTATGGAAGTAAATGCCTGGGAACTTCTAGACCCTCTTCTACTTCCATACTATCTGAATCAACAGATTCAGATATCATCTCATCAAAAGAACTATTGCTGGGGCTTCTACTTTTATTTATTATTTTCCGAGTCACAATTTAAGGTTAGCTTTCAACTACTGTTTATTTTTTTTGTACTTTCATTTTGTTGCATTTTCTTTTTTCTTGTTGCTTGTAATTTGTTGAGTTTTGTTTGGTGGGCTCTGCGTACTAACTTCAGTTAGAGTGGCAACCGTACGAGATATTTTAAGAGCACTGGCGTAAGATGTATTTGGTCTAACCTGTGTGCTTTGGACTAATCTTCTGGCTTCAGCCTATGTTATGTTCCTAGTTACTTTTTGCAGTCTGTACTTCTTTTTCGGATTTCCATTTTGGGGACAAGCGAGAAAATGCTGGGTGATTACCCGTGAAATTTATACACAACAGCGCAGCAGTACAATTTTCAGAATCGTGGCCAATCTGTGAGCATCGCGCGCATGTGAGGCTGCCACGACAAGACATCTTAGAATGGCCGAAGCGCTGGCATTGGAAGCACCGCATAGGGTTTGGTATATAAGGTCTTACAGGACAATTTAAGTATCCGGCTTTTAATATTCTTAGGCAGATCAGGTGTGTTGAAGGTAAGGATCACGTGTTTCGTATCGATCAACTTACCTTCTTTACGCGTCTTGATCCGCTTAGCACCGCAGACATTTTGGCTAGATAGCTCGGATGCGATTTCTTCTTCAGAAACACACAGAAGGTCGATTTCCGAGATTACACCACGACAGTAATTCAAGGTCTTATGTGCTGTCACAGTGACACTCTCTTGCCCAAGTTTGGTTACTTGAAGTAAAGAAGCAAGCTGGGTGGCTGAATTTGTATTCAACAAGCAAGTCTCCAGAACGAAGACGCTTTATATTTCTGGGCTCACCAATACAGGAATGAATGCATTTATTTATTACGAAAGGTGACATCTTTTGCAGCTCACCAGAAGGACTAGACATAACAAGGAAACGGGGACTACTATTAGGATCATTTGCATCTGTACGTATTTTTTTGCAGTAGATTTTTCGCAACTAGAACTTTGAGCGACTTGAGTGACTTCGAAGTCTTTAATTAGGTAAATGTGTGAATTAGCCATATTGAAGGAAAAAAGATTCGGGTCCGACGACCCCACCCACCACGGAGTCCAACAAGGGAACACAGATTCCTGTGTTAGGGCTAGCCGGACCTATACGCAAGCTGAAGCCCCACAGTCGGCTTTCCCGAAAGCAGGTATTCCCGAGAGCTTATCCCCATGCCACTGACACAAGGACTAGTGACCAGTCGATTGACACCCGTGAGGACGACTAAGGTGTCTTCCGTTTAGCTGAAGCAGAGGCCAAAGCAGTGTGTTGGGGACAGTACCTCGCCCCTCAACTACCAGGACCCTCCTTTCCAGCGACACGGGTCTCCACGCACGGCAAACACTTGGGCACTTTTCTCGCCACTCGAGAACTAGAGACAAGGGCTGTTCCAATTTCTCGTTACGAGCCCCAAACTCCGAAGAGGGAAACCAAAAGGGAAGGGAAAAAGAACCAGTCAAGAGGAGAGGAGACGGAAAAGAGGATAGATCACTGGGGCCCCAGGATCGTGACACCCGTCTCACCAAGACGATGATCCCCTGAAGGGCTAGGGTACCTCGGGATTGCCACACCCGTACTCAGATAAAGTGAGCCCCTGAGAGCATGCAGAAAGGAGGACGAAAATACCTTATATACTCCCTCTTTTAAAGGGCGACTTGGGATTAGGGGACCCAGTCGCCAAATCCTGGTGATGAAGAATCATCATCCACCAGCTTTTAGTTCGGGTGCTATTGCCCAGACATTAGGATTTCTGATGCAGGCGACATGAAAAATGAGCAATGCCCTCCTCGGGACTCAAACCTGGACCTTTCGAATACGCACCGAGTGTGCTAGCGTTACATAACGAAGGCATGCAGAAAGGAGGGAGAAATACCTTATAAGTCTATCAAAATAAAAATTTTTAAACTGGTAGAGAATTTCGAAACAATCTTGAAATTATCACTAGCAGACTAACTTTGCTTTTTTTTTTTTTTACTTTATTCAATTTTCTGGTTCGGCTTGGCTGTGAAGTTTAAAAATAACTTGAGTGTACTAATGTTCTTTTAAAACGCTTTCTTTCTATATTTCAGAGGAGACAGAGCCATTGCAAACCTTAGCAGAAAGGCTAAAAGATAAATTTATAACAGAAGTAGGAGTTCATTCGAACGACAGTGAGTATACTTATTATGTTATTTAAATTTATTTTGATCTAGTGCTCAACCCAAAATAATATGCTTAAAAATGCTGAAAACTTGAGGTATGATGTTATTTGAGGCAAAAAAATGAAAATGTATGATTTTTTATGTGATATGCAATAGTGCGCCGCGATATTCGTCAAAGGTTTCTAGATACGAAAAAGAACTACTTTTGAATTCGAACACTAGCTGGTGAGGCAGTGCATTATAAACTTTGGAAAAATAAAAACCAGAAGGGAAAGCGACATCAAAGCGACACGCAACAACAAATCATAAAGAAGTAAATTTTTAATTTGATGAATGTCATTGTAAATAAATGAATTAAAAATATCTTTATCAAGAAGAACACAAGGCCATCAAAACAGGCGATTTCTTAGTTTTCATATCGCTAATCATTTTTGAAACTGTATAATGGCGTGTTTTCTCATGTATTCCCCCCGCCCCTTGCATTTTAGCGCTCGGTTCTAAAAATTTTTTAAATATTCACATCATTTTCACCTTTCTCTGTTGTTCATAGTTTCCTAGTTTATCTCTTCATTTTTTATATTTTTATCCAGTGTGTTCAATCTAGCTTTGTATTTTTGTATTAGCATTTCATCCATTTTATTTTAACTTTCATCCATTTTATTTATTATTCGAAACAAATTTTGTGGCAGATTCTTCATTAAGCTACTCTGACCTGTCAGGTGTTCTTACGTTTATGAAACTTTCCAAATATGTGATTTTACCTTACTTTTGTTACGTTCCAGCTCACTGTAGCCTTTATCTACAGCTGATGTGTTCGATCTTTCGTAAAAAAAAAAAAAAAAAAAAAAAAAAAAAAAAAAAAAAAAGTCTGGGCCTTTTGTTTCCCCTCTCTTCTTTCCTCGGATGTCCATCTTGGGAACTGCTGTCCAGACTCATTCATATGAAGTGTCCTTCTGGTTTTACAAGGTAAACGGACACATCGCGCTCTCACTCAATTACCGTCAGATATCCGCTGAATATCCGTTAGATATATTCATGTTAATATCGTCATGTGTTTTTATTGGAATGTAGTTTTCTTTCAAAGAAGCAACATTTGATTTTGTTACCAGTATTTTGTACATGACACTTCATTTGTTATGTTCTTACTGTAACTACTTTCTTTAGAAATTATATTACGCGCATAATTTTCTCCTCTCGATTTTCGACCGATAATATTAGTTAAGAAATCTGATGTATACACCACATGACTTCCTTGTACGGAATATTAAATTATATGCATTTTTTCTTGCATTTCATTTAAACTTATTCGATTGAATTAAATCTACTTTGTCGATAGCGCATAAACCACAATAGAATAAATGCACTCTATAAAATTCCCTATATTTGTTAACCATAGCGAAACTCTGACGCCAGGTTCACTTAACAGCGTTACATTTCGTTCATATTATAACTCAGAATGAACAAAATTTATATCATTTGCAGAATTATCTAATCATTGCCATGTACTATTCAAATAGTATAATAAATCTAAAACGATGTATAAAACAAATTAAGCAAACAAAAACAAAAAAGAAACAGTTTTTCATAGACGATTCAGTACTTTTCATTCAATTAATTCAATTCTCACTTTCTCAGGAGGCAAAAATACATAAAAACTCAAAATATCTGTATTAAAAATTACGAAGTAAATCTTAAACACTTATTTCCTCGAATAAATTCCAGAATGGATTAAGCATGATTTAATTAGCAATAATAAAAGAAGGCGTTATCTTTGTTATTGCGAACCTTAGTTTCTCTAGATTGGCAACAAATCCGTTATTTTGCCAAGTTTCAAACGTAAATAAACATGGCCGCCATCGCAAAAATAATTAGGCCACACTTAAGCAACTTTTAAATTGTTGATAACTCTAAAAATGTTGTATACAGATTTACATTTATAAAGGATTAAATAGATTTATAAAGGCATAAAAACCTTAACCGGAAGATAAGAACAACATAATTCAATCATTTTAGAAGTAAAAAATGCACAATTTACAAACATATAAGAGTAAAGAAACTGAGATCACTGAGCCGGGTAACAGAGTGGATATATATATATATATATTTATATTTATATACGTTTGGTGCGGCCGATTGCAACCAAAATACGAGGTACACATCTACATGTTATAGCAGACCTATATACAAAATTTCAATGTTCTGAGGCTACTTGTTTTTGATTTGACGTCACGAAAAACTCTCTTCAGAATTCATTTTAAATCAGTTTTATAATTTTTTTGGAGGAAAGGAATTTTTTATTCTGTCTTTACGAACAGATGTCACGCAAAAAGATCGTTAAATTGCATTCTATAGCGGTCAAAATGCATATTTTCGTTGAAATATGATGCCTGAAACTTTTCGCGATTACAATACTTCCTTTTTACTTCATACAAGGAAGTAAAAAGGAGGGAAATACTGTATTTTATTTTTAAATGACGCATATAAGGTTTCATTTTTGTACTAATGGATCTATTTTTCACGACTATGCCTTTTTTCTTTCGAAAATATAAAAATCCTAAAGTTAGGGATGGCAGGTGGTCGAGACTAGTGCATTGTGGCACTTAACAGCTGACCAGCGTGTTGATCTAAAATGGCTTTATATCTTGTTTGCGTAATTATCTTTTGTAGGAATTCATTTGAGGTATCGGTTCCTTTTCACGGTTTAAACTCAGAGTTACTGAACTAGCTACACTGTACTACTGCCTACTATTTCACTACTGTGAATTCTTTCACATGTCATCTGGAACACTTTAGTAGGGATTGAAAATCTTTAGGATTGATTAAATGTTTTTAATTTCTCAAAAGTTCGCAATAGCTCAGATTGCTTTAAGCCCATTTTCTGAAAAAGTAACGACAAACATTATTATTCATGCTGGGGGAGGGAAACCTTACAACAGGTCTCCATTTATAGCAAAATTCCATATATTCGGAACTCATTTATCTGGATTTTGTGAACTTCTTAAGGACTAAATAAAATTACACTTAATTTATTTGCATGATTTTAGTTTTCCCTTGATATAACGACTTCGAAAAAAAAATCCAGGGTCACCTATAGAGTCGGTGTGGCCGCACCGAAAGGCAGAATCTTAGAGGCGGCAATTTTTTTTTTTTTTTTTTTTTTTTTAAATTTGGGAAAGAACCGAGCAGCAAAATTTAGAGGTGACAAAAATTTTAAGAATTTAAGGAAGTGCGGAATGGTAGGATTTAGGGATATCAAGATTTTTAGAGTTTAAGGCGGTTCCCGACCAGCAGAAACAAAGATCCTCAAAGCTAGCATGACAGGCTAAATGCTTAGCTCCCATCTTGCATAAATCACCCTATGATGCTCCACTACTTGAAAATAAAAGAAGCATAACTCGGCTAATAAAAACTCCATTCCGCAAATAACCCAGATTTTCTTTTTCTGTTTTTTTCCAATCTTCTAAAATCATAAATTTATTGAAAGCTTTAAGTGGAAAAAAGTACTGTTTAGCGTTAAATCTATTATTTTATTATTTCACATCAATAAAAAAAAGTGATCTGTTAATTTTAGCAGTTATAACTATATAACCTTTATCAAAATAAAATATAGTAAATGAAAAATGAAAGATTTCTCATTTTCAATGTATACGTATTCGATCCTACGGAAAAATATTTATTATCCGAATTTTTCAAACACACTGGTTTAAAAAAATTAAGCAAAAATTTAAAAATCACGACAAATCGGCTGAAAATAGTTCGAAACTCTTGAAATCTAGTTATGTTACAAATGAAAGTATGCTGCATCGAGCAGCATTATGCAAAAGAGTAGCGCTGCCATCATTTTATGTAAATATGATTCAGCTTAAAACCGGTTGTTTAAGAAGAAATCGCTATTCAATGAAAATCAGTTTTTCTCTCCCTGTTTACTTTAATTAAGACTTTAATTCATCAGTGTTTTATAATGTGTGAATTTCCAAGTTATCCCAATGAAATTTTTAAATTCCTTTGTGAAAGATTCTTTTTTTAATTTTTCTAAGCTTTTTAAATACGAGATCTGAAATTAGTATCTTTTCAATGTCTATTTCTGCAAATGATACATTAAAGAAAAACTAGATATGATAAGCTTAGATATAATTAAATTAGACGTAATTAGAGGGTTAGATGTCATTTTTAAGTTTATAATAACAAAATAAAATATCTTGTTTGCAGAAGTTAAATATATTAATTTTAAATAAAATTATTATTTCGAATAAAGTTTATCGGTGAAGCTTAAATATATATTTCGATTTATAGTAATTTTCATTACATTTATAAAATTGTCTGCAATAGGTTAAATTTTCTTAAAATGCAATTTGAAATTCGGTTTTTTTATAACATGAAGTAACTTGTACTTTTAGAGACAACTTACTATTAATTTATACTCTTTCGTCACAAGTGAAATTTTAACTTATATAAGTAACGATGAAATGTAATTTCCTTGTTTTTATATTGTTGTCATTTAAATAATTTGTGTATCTATTTAAAAAATTAATGCCATAAATATATTCTCTAAATCCCTCAAGTAATAAATACTTTTGCACAGGTTTTCATGTTTTTCTTAGTATATAAAGTGAATACGAGTTAGTTTCTTTAGAACGTCCTCCACAAAGGCATCCCTTGTCTTAAGTAGGCAGCTCTCGTATGTTTTGCCGTATTCAAATAATTTGACTTAAAATAGGAAATATTTGTCTCTAACTAAATCTCTTAATAAGGAAATTGGGTTACTTTAACAACACAAATATATTATACGTAAAAGTGAAAAGAAAAGAAAAGATCTGATATAATAAATTTTAAGACTAATCTCAGAAATTTACACATAGAAACATGTAGAAAAGTTCAGTGTTTTAAGGTAATACACCATTTGTAAAGTTATAACAATTAAAAAACGTGTTTTTCTATAACTAAAACGAGGCTATGAAAGTATTACATTATTTATAATGTGGCGCTAAGTACCACGCATGGAAGTAAGT